AAGGTCATAGAGGCAGAAATGCCTAAACCCTAGGAGCTCACAGTCCACCACCATGTTCCCCAGATGCCAGACATGGAGCTACCAGATTTAAAGTTTGCCCTCCTGGGTTTCAGTCTTACTTTAATCCAGTCTTTCCTTTATATCCCCGTCTTTCTCTCCTTTTGAACTAGGAATATTTACCTGCCCCACAATTGTATGTAGGACATATGTAATTTGTCATTTTTTTTATTTTTGCAGTTAATAGCTGCCTTGAGTCTCGGATTGGACGTGTTTTTTTAGGGAATGCTTTGGACGTCTTTGGACGTGGATTTTTAGGAAATGCTGGGACTTTAAAGACTATGGAGACTCTTGAAAATTGAATGCATTTTGCACTGTGAGATACCCATGAGCCTTTGGGGAACAGGGACAGAATATGATGCTTTGGATCTAAAAAGTCCCCCAAAGGCTCATGTATTGAAGGCTACATACCCACCGCAGCACTGTTCAGATGTGCAGCTTTGTGGAGTTATTAAATCCCATGGGGACTCTAACCTCATCAGGGGAGTAATCTTTCAGCAGATTTATAATTTGAATAAATTACTTGAAGTTGGTGGGAACTATACGAGCTAGGACCTAGTTGAAGGGTATGGGTCCTTGGAAGTATGCCTATAAGAGCTATCTTGTCCCCAACCCCTTCCCCACCTCCCTCAGTGCCTCTTTCTCTTCCCTCTCCTCTCCCTCCTGGCAGCCATGAATTGAGCAGATTTCCTCTGCCCTGCCTTTCCACATTGGCCCAAAGCATTGGAACCATCCAACCATACTGAAATCTCTGAAATCATGAGCCATAACAATTTTTTTCTTCTTTAAGTTATTTTTGTCAGGTATTTTGTCACAGTGATGAAAAGTTGACTAACATGGCTACTTTTTCCTTGGGCCATAATACAAAGCTAGGTGCAGTGGTACATGCCTGAAATCCCAGAGGTTCAGGAGGCTACAGCAGGAAGATCACAAGTTGAAAGCCAACCTTAACATATTAGGAGAGCCCTGAGCAACTTAGCGAGACCCTGTCTCAATATAAAACATTTTAAAAGAGTTTGGGATGTTGCTCTGTGGTTAAGTGTCCCTGGGTTTGATCTTTGGTACAAAAATATAAAATAAAATAATAATGTATATAGAAACAAAGAAAAAAACATTACTAAGGTACATTGCATAATGTGGTCTATAGTACAATGGAACACCACATAGCCCTATAAGGAAGGAAATTCTCTACCAGCTGCCACATGGATTAAGATCAAAGACTGACTATTCAGTTAAAAATGGTCTTTAGATAATAAATTTTATGTGTTTTCCCATAAGGAACAAATAATTGCAATTTATATATACAAGAATTAATCAAAAATAAAAATTAGAAACATAATAAAATATCATTTGCAATAACTGAAAAACACATATTTATGTATACATTCAAAAAGATATATCCAAGATTTTTTATGCAGGAAGTTTAAAAAGGAATAAAATATATTAAAAAGAAAAATAGACACACTGTATTCGTAGCTTAGAAAATCATTAGCTAAAATCATTATGTAAAGTCTGTCAAAAGGCTTTATACATATTAACAAGCTTATTTTAAAGTTTATTCAAAAAGGAAATGAGAATATCTAAAAATGGGGAGGAAATAATAATGTTGGAGGAGTCAGTACATGCACTGTCAAGACATTTACAGTGATGATAATGAAGACCCTCTGGCATAAGTGAAGGGACTGGCATGTGAGTGGATGGACCAGAACAGAGAACACTGATAGACTCACACAAACAGTCAACTGAGTTTTTACAAAGGTGCAAAAGCAATTTGTTGGGGAAAGCTAGGATTTCAACAGGTGCTGGCAATGCAATTAGGCATTCATGAGCAAAGAAGAAAAACCTTACCTTTCACATCCTATACAAAATTAACTGAAAATGCATCCTGGGTTTAAGCATAAAACGTAAATCCACAAAACTTTTAAAATATGGTTTAAGAGAAAATCTTTGTGATCTAGGGCTTTGCAAAGAGCTATTAGATGACACCAAAATCATGATCCATAAAGGTAAAAATTGATAAATTAGACTTACTCATAATTAAAAACTCTCTTTCTATAAAATTCCATGTAAAGAAGAAAAAAAGACAAGCTTCAGACTGAGAGAAAATATTTGCAAAACAAATATCTGATAAAGAAGTTATATTTAGAATATATAAAAATTTGTCAAAACAACACTAAAAAATCCAATTTGAAAACTGAAAATAGACATCAACAGACAATTCAACAGAAAAGATACATGAATGTCAAATAAGCCTGTAAAAAATGTTCAGCAAAACTAGCCATTAAAGAAACAATTTAAAACTATGACACAATATCACTATAATCTATCAGAATAAAATGAAAAATACCAACTACTAAATGTAAGAATGAATGCAAAATTTAGATCTCTCATGCATGGCTGGTGACAGAGTTAAGATCCTTATTTTTATATTATATATATATATATATATATATATATATATATTTTTTTTTTTTTAGGGAAAGTCAATAAGTAGGCAGTTTAATGAAATGAATATTATACTGTGTACTGTCCAGACAATATTTTTTTAATTTGAAAATGGGAAAATTAAAGATAGTTTATGTTCTGAGGATGATTTTACTTAACAATTGCCAAATTGTTAAATTTACAATATTCAAATATTCTTAAAGCTAGAGAAACCCACCATCTGCTCGATACAACTTTCTGTCAGAAGGGCTATTTTAGAATAAAAAAAGATCCAAGGCTTCCCGCCACTCACTGTCAGGCTCACCTCCTCACTCTTGGAGTTGAGAAGCAGTCTAGTGAAACTGGAGGCTACTTCCTCCGTGAATTACAAAGAACTTGATATCCTGAGTACAAACAATAGTAAAGGATGCTACCATCGTAAAACACATACCTAACTTTTCATGTAAAATTATAAAGAGGAATTTTTTAAAACATATGGCAATAGTGCTAGAAACATTTGTCTCTTGGGACATTCAGCCAAATATATCTCTCATGAGCTAAATTCACCACAGCTCAGTCAATACTCAATTTCAGCAAGTAATTGATTTTAGTGCATGAAACAAACCGGGGTAGATTCCTTGTTTAAAAATTCAGGGAGTTCATAATCTTGTAAAGGAGACAGATAAAATCCAAGAATTTGTGAAACTGGTTATAAAGAATTGAAATTATTCCATTTCCAGGTATTTGATATTGTACTATTGTTTTGCAACATGTAACTTTTGGATGAATTGGATTAAGGATATGTGGGTCACCTCTAATTCTTCAAATACCTTATCTATAATCATGTCAGAGAGAAATAGTTTTTAAAACCAGTATGTAACTGTGTTTTCTATAAGAAATTAACCATAAATACAGTCATTGAAAAATGCAAAGAAAAAGGATTTAAAGAGATATAACATGAAAACATTACTCGTGGTAGGGAGGGAGAGCATGGGAGGAAGAGATGAATTTTAGATAGGGTAGAGGGGTGGAAGGGAAAGGGAGGGGGCAGGGGATTAGCAAGGATGGGATACATGTATGAAGAAACAAATTGGTGTCAACATACTTTATATACAATCAGAGATATGAAAATTGTGCTGTATACATGTAATAAGAATTGAAATGCATTCCTGTCATTTACTTTTTTAAAGAAATCAAAAATATTTTGAAAAAAACATTACTTGTAATAAAATTAGTATAACTATATTCATATAAGAAAAAGTAGACCCCAAGACAAAAGCTATGACAATATTTAAAGAAGGACCTTTCATGATGATAAAATGTAAAGTTTGTAAAGAAAACTAAACCACCATATATATTCATGCAAATAATGGCAGAGCATCAAAATCCATGAAGCCTGGATGATACAAGCAAATGGAGATATAGACAGAGCTGCTATCTTAAGTGGGATGTTTTAATATCCCTGTAATAGTAATTGATCAAGCAAGTAGACAACACTTCAGGAGGTATGCCATATTGGGTAGAGGTTGAGCAGAGGGCAGAAGAGAATGTGAAAGTGGACTAAGCAGTTTATATGAGAATGAAGGGAAGAGAAGACAGTAAAGAAAGAAAGGCTGAAAAGGAGGACCCAGGAGCAGGCTGTCACCCCATCAATCCCATAAGGACTGGAGTATCAGAGGGAGCAGAGCTGAATTGTAAAATGGGAATTGACCATGTAACTAATTTGGAATCTGTGACTCCACCATGTCCCAGGGGAGTACAATGTATTCACATGTGAAATCAGTAAAAGTTCTCTGAGATATTAATGAAGAGAGAAAGACAGACTATAAATTCAGATTGTCAGTAGAGTTATGGACAGGCTTCACTTATGACCTAGATATGAAAGGGGTGGAAAGTTGAGCCTATGAGGTCAACACTCATATCCCTGTGATGTACTTTTATTCATTCCTCAAAGTCTTTTTATCTTTATAATCCCAATTCATAACTCCCCTTCCTTTTTCTTCTTACTGATAGGGAGATCTTGATTCCGTGCAGCCACAACATGCTGGTCCTGTGACACTGGAATCCTCGGTCTCACTAAACAAAAGTCATCTTTTCTTGGTTTCACTGGGTAATAGAAGTGACCCAAAACCTTGCACCTAACTAATCTCAGCAACAGGGTTGACCCTGCTATTGAACCAAATCCCTGAGTTAAATAATTGCATTTTGTATCAGCCTTGAGGACAGAAAGAAATTTGATATCAAAAAGGCTCCTATTTTATATAAAGAGATAAGATTCAGCAGCTAATTTATGTTTTCACTTCAGACACTTCCCTTTTCCTACAGTCTCTGAGGGAAGGGAAGATGTTAAACAATAGATGTTTTCTATTGGCTCCCAGAAGATGGCCATGTCTGTGGATGGCTCTATATAATCCCCTTCCTGCTGTAGGAGCCCTATTAAGACCTGGGAGGGCTCCCTATCTAGGGAGTAAGGGAAAGCCAATGCTGTGACCAGAGGACACAGGAAGCAGAAAGACCATGCAGGGACTCTGCCTTCTCCAGGGACTTGCGTTTCTCTTCCTTACTGTCATAGCGGATGCTCAAGGTAAGCATAGCCCCACTTCCTAAGACCAGGGAGATGCTGAATTAGCTCCAAGTTTCTGGGAAATGGTCCTTGGGATCCTAAATACAATGCCTCTTTATAGATCATTTGGTTTTGACCTAATACGATCCTAAGTGACAGTGAATGCTGATTTTTCTTCTGTAGATTCTCAGTTATTCAAGGACAGCAATAGGATGTTGCAAAGATATAAAGTTTATTCCCAGATTGACCAGAAAGTCTGTTTTAGATTTCCACAATAACATCTGAAAACTCAATTCCCAGTTTTCCCATAACAATTAGAGGCTGGGGCCTTCTTATCTGTTCCTCCTGTACTCTATAGTATGCTTTCTCACTGTATTGGTATTTCTGCCCTTTTAGCAAGTGAGCTGGTGTGTTTGTGTGTATGAAAGACAGAGACAGAGAGGGAATGAGGAAGATAGAAGATAGAAGATAGAAGGGAAGATAGAGGGAGATAGAAGGGCCATAGAAAAAGAGTGATGTGCAGGAATAGAGAAGAGGGAGAAACAGAAAGAGAAATACAAGGAGAGAGAAGACAGGAGCAAAAGATGGTGGGGGGGACCAAAAAATAGAAACAGAGAGCGTGCGAGAGAGAAACTAATGAGTGAAGGAACTTTGAAAATAAAAATGTGAGCAGGAGCATGCCTGCCCATTGGAAGTCAGCTGTTTAGCCAGGAGTCCATAGAAATCACTCTGAGCCATACTTCTGAATTTGATGGTGAGGACGGTTGTGGTGGTGATGATATGTGTGCATGTGTACATGATGAGGGCAGATGTAGACCTCGTTGCCCCTAAAGAAAGCCCCTCAACATGAACTGTATTTATACCACAAATAACCCTGCACCTGCAGTCTGCGCCAGTCATTGAGATTCTTTTTCTTCCTCACAAACCCACAGATCAGGCATTTTCTGACTCACTATAGTGTTCCCCAGCAAGGGCAGAACTTTGTATTTCTGCAGGTGTTTTTCTCTTCCTATTACTTGTTTGTTCTCTCACATGCCAAGAATCTACTGCTTAGAAGAACCCTGTGCTTGTGAAAGTCTTCATGATGAATATTTTCCATTGTGATACCGTCAGATCCTACATGAAATCTGGTCTCCACAGGCCCAGTGGAGTTCAGGTTACCAGTGTTTGAGCTCCTGAAATGGGAATGAACTAGCCACATCACTGGAGAGCCAGCTTTTCTAGTTGCAAGTGTTGATCCTGCCTGCTTCAACAATGTTCCTCACTTCTCTGTTCAATTTTTCTTCCCTATTTCAACCCCTCTGTTCAGAAGTCAATGTACCTCTTCTTAGGGAAACTCTATCCCTCAAAACAAGAAAAAGAAGTTCTCCTCCTCATTGCCTTATATTAAGACATATATTATGTCTAGGAACCTCCAGTTCCTTGGGTTCTAGCCATATGCCCATGATGGTTTCCTGTCTGCAAAGCTGTGCTGGCTCTTAATGGTGTAGGTGGACTCTCAAAATGAAATGTAATGTTGATGTTCTGATTCCATTTTGGTCTCCATCAGCAAGATCAGTGAATGAATTTCTCATCAGAGAAGAAATTTTACCTCATTCAAACAAATGTAATTTTTCCTTAAGAGAGAACATTTTATAGAATCGGATTATCAAAACACATGTTCACATATTAAAACACTTGCCTCATATTCTTGCAAAATTTCAACCTTGGTATTATGCTGCCAGAGCATTAAAAATTCCCTGATCCTGAAACATGTTACAAGAGCCTTTACTGCCAGTAGTCCAGGTGACCACAGCAGCCTGCCAGATCACACTTGACCCTTTCTGTGGCACAGATTTAATGGGTGTTTCCATGATAGCTCCCACACTGCCTCTCAATACAGTTCCAAGGCATAGCACACTCAGAAGGGCTCCCTCAGAATTCTTCCTAGAGCCACTCAGTTTCTCCTGCTGGCTTATATCTTATATGTCAAGACTAGACTGGTCTCATTACCTGCTGCCTAGTTGTTCTGTGGAGTAATTCCTCTTTATACTGGAAAGTTCCCTAGAGTACCTAGTACACTGCATTGCTAGATGTAATCATCCTTCATTGTGCCTTAACAGGCACCAGTGCTACAACAGTGAGCACACTTCTCAGTGACACAGCCCAGTAGGGTAGGTGGACAACTAAGCCAGTAACAATGATAAATCATGCTATGTGCAATAATTAAGATAGTAAAGATGGCTGTGGGAACACAATAGGGAGTCAGCTAACCTACTTAGATGTGGTCAGGGAAGGCTTCCTGAAAGAAACAGAAATACAAAGGAACACTGTATATTTTAGAATTACAACCATTTTTAGATATAAAACTGTGCATATACATCCATAACAGTCTATAAAATGCTATAACAGAAGTCTCCCCATTTGTGTGTTCACACACATTAATTAATATAAATCATTACTTCCATATTATTATTAATTTTTCTATTTTGGGCAAATGCTAACCAATAAGTAGGTAAATAAATATGTATTTTCCACTGTTCTCAGAGTTCTGTTAAATTCTCCTAGATTCAAAGTTTATAATTTTTATCTTAAAACAACATTTGTGACCAGTAAAGTATCATGAAGGTTATATTACTGAGATAGTTTAGCATGTGAATAGAGATGGTCTGGCTTTGAATCTTTATTTTAAATTTACATTGAAATCTAAAGCTCTAAGGTCTTTCATGAAGTGAATACATGTAAACACACAGAAATCAAGAAATAGAATATTAACAACAAGAAGATAACTTCATGTCTCCTTTCAGGCAAGGTTAATCATTTCCCTGACTTCAAGTACCACACATTAATTGAACCACATTGATGCAATCATACAGTTTGTGACACGTTGTTCCTTATTTTGTTTGTTCAACATTATCAGTGTGAAACTCTCTATATTGTTGAAATTTGTTGTATTTCATTACTTACCATTGTTATATAATATTCCATGTGTAACAATATCACAGAATATCTATCTATCCATTCTCCCCTCAGTAGTTTCCAGGTTAGAAGTTATTACAAGTAATGCTGCTGTGGACATTCTTTCGTGTCCTCTGATGAACATGAGGATACAGGTCTGTTGTTTGTGTACATGGTACTATTTCTGGGTCACAGGATGTTAAATAATAGCATATACTGCCAAATAATAGCTGTGTAAATATACCCTACCAATAATATCTAAGAACTCCAGTTCCTACACACTTTGTCCAACCTGATATTGCCAATATTTTTTTTTCATTTTAGCCATCTGCTAGTGTAGAATTGTACTGCCTCCTGGTTTTAATTGTGTAGCCCTAATGGTTAGGTGGTACTCATTTTATATATTTATTGGCAACATAGGTTATCTCATTAAATCCTTGATCTCTTTTGCCCACTTTTCTTTATCACAATCATAGAAGTACATTTTAATACATTGTGTAGTAGCCAATAGAACATGCAGTAAAATTTCAATCTAGAAGGATGGAATCTGGACAGATGAGAAAGTATTTTAATTTTATTAATATACATGGAACTCTCCCATTTTTTCCAGAATACACATTAATTTCATGAGCAGTTTTTTTTTTATTTTGGTTTCTTTTTTGTTGTTGTTGGCTTTTTATATGTATCAAAACAGGATGTTTTTATACATCTGTACATATTAAAATGACAGCTACATTTAAGCAACCTACATCAAGTTAACTCCTCCATTTCCTCACATTGTTAAATTGCGTGTATGTGCATCTGGGTGTATGTATGGTAACAACTCCTAAAATCTACTCTGTTAGTAAATTCCAGTACATATTACAATGTTATTAACTAAAGTCATGGTGTACAATCTGTCTCTAGTCTTACCCATCCTACACAACAGCAACTTTGTACATTTTGGTCTTATTTTCTATTGAGTTGTCTTTTCCTTATAAATTTTTTCTGCCAGTATATGGAGGTTTTGCACTCCTTAATGACGTTTTTTGATAAATAGATGCTACTATCCATATTATTATCTGATATTGCTTTTATCCAACACAGTTAGATATTTATATAAACTCTGAATAAAATATTCACAATTATGAAGCCATGAAAATATCATATAATACTTTATTTTCAAAACTTTATGATTCTACTTTTCATATTTATAGTCACAATCCATTTAGAATTGATTATTGTTTGTGGTATGAAGTAGGCCTCTTAATTTTATACCCATGACTTACAATTAACCAATTAAATAAAAAGATTATTTTTCTTTCATATGAAATGCAGTGAAGCCTAAGTAATAAATTAGATGTTTCTAGTCCTATGGATCAGATTCCAATGCTCTATATTCTATGTGATAATATTATGTGTCTCTCCTTGCACAAAAACCATTTCATCTTAGTCACTGTAATTTATAAAGATTGAGTAAGTTTGTCTCATAATATAAGTAAGTTTTCTCATAATAGAAATCATTTAATTTTATTCTTGTTCATTATAAATGCTTGAATATTCTTGGCCTTTTCAAATGAACTTTAAAATAAGTTTGATAATTTTCCCTCCAAAAATATGACTTTTTGCAGAGCATGGTGGCGCATGCCAGTAATCCCAGTGACTTGAGAGGCTGAAGCAGGAGGATCACAAGTTCAAAGACATCCTCAGCCATTTATCTAGACCCTATCTCAAAATAAAATATAAATAAGAGCAGGGGGTGTGACTCAGTGGTTAAGTGCCCCTGGGTTCAATTCCCAGTAGAAAAACAAAACAAAACCAAAAACATAATTTTTTATTGGGACTGTGTTCAATAATCAGTTAACTATTTCCCCATATCAGTCTAGGGATAATTTTAACAGCTTAGCAACTCTCGATTTCCAATTCACAAGTATGTCTCCTGACTTTCATTTTCTTAATTTCCCTCAATAGTGGTTGCATATTTTCCCTTTGATTTATTTCTATGTACTTGAAGATTTTTGATGTCATTGTAAATGGTATTACTTTGTGTGCATATAATTCATAATTTGACAGATAAATTTTATAAGATATAATTACAAAACAGT